GACAGAGGTGAAATAGAATTATGAACACGTATAATGTAGAAGCAGGCAGACAGTGCCTGAGTAGAGCCTGTGAAAAATGGGATGGGAAGGCTGGGAAGTTTTTTTTATACTTTTCCTCTTCCAGAACAACAACAACAAAAGAAAATAACGATGAGCAGTAGAACAGATTACCTAAGAAGGAAGTGCAAACAAATATGTCTTTGGCTTTCGAAAAAGCAGCTAAAGATGGCAACTGTCAGAAGAACAGACAATATCAAATCTAATTAAGAAAAAACGCAGAACAACAGAAGTGACTAAAGACAGCAGTTCAGCAGAGGTACTGAAGATGTGGAATGCTTCAAGACATAAAATCAACCTCTGAAAAGATGAAAAAGGCAAGGCTGCGTGTCTGATAGGAATACAGTAAGATGCTGAGTGGGGGACATGACTATTGCAGAAGCATATAGTGAATTTTGTATACCTTTGCTGTCATAGAAATTGTCTCTGATGTACATAATGTTCTAAATAAATAATGCCGTTACTTTTTCTGCAAATGTATGGGCATTATTCTGGAAAGGAATACAAATAGGGAGAGAAATCACAACATTAGTCAAAGCAGTGAATACTGAAGGAGAGAAAAATAAATATAGAACCAAGAGAATTCTGAGAAACAAACTTGGAACAGTGAGTACAATATGTATGTTAAACTAGAGAATAAAACATTGTGTTACACAGCTGCCACATGTATGTCTTACTAAATACCCAAGTGCTAACATATTTAGAAGAATGCTAGAGAAACAGCTCTCAGAACTGTTGCTAGAGCCTATGACATGCAGGGAAAATTGTTCAGTAAAGTATGAAAGAAATGAGAGGCATGAGAAAAGAAAGTGAGATTGCATTCTGTTCCCATCCTCCCAAACGACAAGCAAAGCAAGAAAATTGTAGACAGTGGATAAATTGATTTAGGTGAGGCATATGAAGGAAGTCTGGAGATTTTATAGCACAAATTCTGCCAGAAGGAAGTGAGAAGTGCTGCATGGAGGATATCTTCCTCCTCGTGAAACTTCTTTTTGGTATGAGCTGACCAGTCATTTTAGGAAACCACCAGAGTGGTGATGGAGTGCTCAAACTAACATGATGAAGTGCAAAGAGATTACAGACATTCACTTTCTTTTTTCTTGATTGCTATTTATTAACTTCTACGCTTCTCCAAAAATGTCAAAACCACTGGCTGTAAACAAGATTATGAACAAGGGGAATTCATAAAGAACATAAGCATCGTCAGATGGAATATCAGAAACTCCCTGGCTCCAAAATTGTATTATAATAACTGTATAACTACTTTGTTTTAATTCAAGCTCTTATTAACCTAACAAATAGTAATAATTAATTTTTTTCACATTCTATGTTATGAAAAAATAGTGAAAATGACAAAAATACATGGATCTAATTTTGACATCAAATACATTATACAGCTGTAATAAGTATTTAATTGCAAAATGATATAAACTCTAAATTTATGATTTTGCCTAACTTGTCTCATTTGCAAGGAGACACATCAAAGTGGTATATGAGCTTTTTTGAAAGGTTACAAGACATATTTTACCTATGGAGCGATATACAGAATGATTCCTGTCAGTGGTGACTGAACAACAGAACCTGCTCCAAAGCTCTTCAGACAAAAATATACACACATAAAAGTATAAGAGATAAATGGCAATGACACTCAAAACTCTGGTATAGCTGAATCTCCTGAAGTTTCTAGATGCTTTAAAATTTACTGTGACACAAATACTTGAAAATATGTTAGGAATTTTTACAGTATTATACAGTATAATTACAGTTTTAATACTAAACAGGGTTATAGTATTTGTTCTTTCACCCCGTCTTCATAAATTTTCATTGCCATCTTGCTTTGAAACAATTTTCTGGACAGTAATTATTTATCTCCCTTTTTCAAAATTTATTCATCTCTCCTTTTCAAAATTTATTCCTCTTTACAAACATTAATGATAAATTTTACCCAAATGAGCATTTCAGCTTTAAAGTAATTGAAAATAAATTGAAACTTAAGCAGCTACTTAACTATGAAATCAGCTACTGAGAATTTTATGTTCACCATTTACATCATTAAAGGAGAGATTTTTAAATTATATTTTTTTCTGCATAGAAATGGTTACAAAGCATAAGAGTGTTAAGCTATATCAGGAGTCATTCCTCAAGTACCTCTGTTAATGATTCATGCCATGGAAACCTTCATTCTTGCCTCTGTGACCTTCACAGAAGAAGAATTTCAAAGGGTATGATTTTCTTCAAGTAACAGTTTGGGCAGTTTGGGTCTGTGTGCTAACTCTCTTTTATAATATTTCTCTTTTTCATGGTTTGGGTCATTATATATTTTTCCCAGGCTTATAATGTTTTTATAAACAAAAGCATATTGTAGAGAAGTACAGAGGAGATATTCTTCTTTCTGAAGAGCTATTATCCCTATCAGCCTCTTTTTAATTAGCTTTTAAAATTCTCTGCTTTCTTTAAGCCTTCTCATAAAAAAAAAATTGTTATATTCATGTTCACTCATTAATCTTTTTTCCCAATAATAAGTAAAGCATGAATGCGCCTTAATTGTTCACTAAGATCATAGGCTAGCTGAAGTTCCAGGTATTATTACTTACTGAAGAGCACTTTAAGATCAAAATCTCAGAATCTTTTGTCTGTAGGTTTCAAAATTCTCTACATTCATTGATGCTTTTGAACTTTGCAAAACTTAATGGAACTTACAATATTCCAAACTCATGCTGGTGTTTTTGAAAACACCTTCCATGATAGCAAGTTAATGGAACTTAACCTGGTATATGAATTTTTCAATATAATTACAATCTTTTCATAATAGTACTCCAAGCAGGCAGAAGCAGCACCCAGCTCACTCAATAGCAGGGAATTCAAATTCTATCAGTAAGTCTTTAACTAATTCACTCAGTGACTTTGGATGGTTCCTAAATCCAGCAGATTTAAAAGCCAACAGCTAAAGAGAGGTACTAAAAAACACTTTAAGGAAAGATATCCATGGCCTGTAGGAGGCTCTGAATCAGCCCACAAATGGCTGATTAGTAAAATGTGCTGAATACTTGCACTAACTGCTGAAGTCAGCAACAGATGGAGGAGCTGGCATCCGAGGACGCAAGGCCACTCCTTCACAAATCCAACTTTAGACATGAAAGCATGAACATGTGAGCCTAAGCTTTGCATTCCAACTTTCCAATCAGTAAAATAAGTCCTAAGGAAACCCCATTCTCATGTGTGATAGTGGAAGTGCTATTTCATATTCACACATCAGCTGTGTCACAGCCAGCCACGCTCACAAACCAGCGCCGAACGTGCCCTTTCAGCAGCTCTGCCTTCTTGGCAGTCCCAGCTCCCCCTTCCTGCTCAGCTTCAGCCTCCACACCCACCTTTCAGCACTGGGCTCCCTTCCTGAGCAGCAACCACCTTGGCTCCCAAACCAGCCCCTTCACACCTACCCAGCCTCCTTACCCAGCAAATTTAAACTATGTTGCTGTTCAGTCTTCCCCCCAAGTATTTTCTGGCCTCCCAACAGCTGAATTCTGTGTCCCATTCCATACCTGGAACAGGAGAGCCATGTCAATGAGAAAAAGGTTACCAGGATTTTTATTTTAAGAAAACATTTTACCTAATTTTTGACAAGAGCAGAACTAAATGGGAAGAAACTTTCCTTCTCTCTGATGCACACGAGGACACATACAAACACACAAAAGTCCTGAAAAAAATAATGTCTTGCCCCAGGGAATTCAAATTACACTAGAAGTGTTATGTCTGGAAGAAATATTAATAACTGAAGCTATTAATCAAGAAAATTTGGGATTGGAAGATGGTGAAGGCGACCTGGGCCTGAAAGTTTAGAAAGCATTTGGACTACCTGGGAAAGATGAACAGGTGCATTGCCAGTTCTGTCTGTGAGGTAGAGAAACATGCAAAATCATCACAGAAAAACAGGTAACTCCAGTGTTTGAATATTAGAAAGTAGCAAATTAATTAATATTTTCCAAGAACATAGCTAATGCTTTAGTGGTAATTTGGAAACAACACCCAGCAGGAGTATTTAGAAGTGTAAATTGAGTGCACATGTATCACTAAAACATTCTGAGTGTAATAGCATTTTTTTCATTTAAGTTCTAGTTGCATCAAAACCTATTTAATATTAATGAAAACATTTAAAGTTAAGTTTTTCTCTTATTTTTCCTGTTTGCTATAGTACAATAAAATAAATGAGTTTGCTAGTGCTACATTTGAGTGCTTTGAAGAACCTGATATTATCTAGTACCAGGCTAATAAAACAGTAACTGCACGTACAGTATAAATAACAAGATAAGTATTATGTTGCCTTAATGCATAAGTAAAGACTCCATTTTCTGACCATTTTCCACACAGACCATTTGCCTAATGAAATCAGCCCTCCTTCCTCTTTATAGTGCTGCTTTGTATTGCCACAGTTGGATGAAAATAGCCTTTTCACTGCCTGAAACCACTCTCATTACCACAACAGTCAAGCACAGCCAGCCTGATGTTGAAATTTTAAAAATCCCATTTGATTCTCTGAGTGAAAGGTTCCACAACGGAATTTTGTGCAGTAGGCAAAATGGTATTAAACTCATACGATGAATTCAACAGGGATATTCAATGTGCAGTTTGCTTGCATTGAAGGCAACAAGGCTCCAAGACACAAACAAGCTCAGGGGAAATATTACAGCACAAATTTTGCCCACAATCTCACTGGTGGTACGTGCATAACTACTGGGAACTCCCTGCACTAGGATGGAGGGGCTACATTCTGACCTTTTGGGGCATCTGCGATCTGAAAGCAACGGCACCACAGCATTTTAATACAGACTAATAAATACCTTTGATTCTAGTATTAGTATCTGACAGTCCATGTGCAAAATCACACAGACCTTCTCAAGTGTTTTATGGATTTATTTTCTTTCTTAAATTTAAAAGTAACAAACCTTCCCAGTCAGCTTTGAAAGATCATCTCCTCCCATGATCTGCATATCTTGCATAGATTGATCATTCTGAAAGAGGAAAGATCAAATTTGAAATTGGTTATAACTGTATAAAACTGTATAAAATACAAACAATACAAACATGCTAACTTTTTTTTTTAAATCTTGGATAGTAATATTTTCTAATGCTTATTAATACTGGTGTGCAACAAAACAACACTCTCAGTTGCTCCTGTGGCTTCCATCATCTCCTGGTTGTATTTAAGCTAATATCAAGCCTAGGCTTTACTTAATTAGAAAAAGTTGCATTTTTCTTTTTAAAATAATGTTCTCTTGCTTGCTATTTCTTAACATGGCAAGTGTTAAGTAACATACTTGTCCCTTTCACAACGGGAGGACAGGAGCATCTCAACACTTGACTAAACACCTGTAAGCACATTCTCTTTTTCAAACAGTCTTTAGAAACACATGCAAAATGTTCTTACATCTATCACTCACACAGAGAACTCAGCTATTTTTGAAAGAATTCACTCCTTTTTTTTCAAGGGAAAAAAAAGTTTTACAAAATTCATCACTTGTTATCAAAAATAGTTTCAGTTGCCTTCCAGAGCTTTGTTTTTGCAACTGTCTCAAATATAAAAATCCTTGACATCAATTACATAAAATAGACTATTAACAATCAGGTTGAACTACATGCAACAGAATAATATGCTTTGATTTGCCTATTAAAAAAGGAATTTTATTACAATCAGTAAAAATTCTTTTTTGATAGATTTATTTCACAGATATTTCTAGTTGAAACTCATTCTGATGGAAAATTCTCAACCAACTCTATGTCAAATTCATTATCAGCAGAACACAAAGTTAATATCACATAAGGGAGACAGACTGAAGTCCTACCTTTAAGGGAAGACAGAAGAGGCCCTAAAGAAGATGGCAAATTAAAAAATATACAGTTGTGGCCAGGCTATATGAACTTTTCAGAAAGAGCAAAAGTAAGAATAGTTAATGTGGGGGTTTTGCCAAATTGGTGCATGTGCTAATCTAATCTCCCTATCCAAAGAAAAAACCATATTATTCCAGTTTCAATAAGAGCTGCAGTACCTCAGTGTGACACTGTAGTCCACCAGGAAACTTCACCATTACACAACGATGTAAGCACAATACTTGACTACTTTGCCTTTATTTCATAAATCTAGTGCTCTGAAGTCAAATGTTTTCCCACAGACAAAACAATGGGACAGCAGGACTTTTAAGGTAGGTGAGGATCTACCAGACTAAGGGGTTTATAGCTCTTCTTCTTCCCCTCAAGAAGCAGGACGAGCAGAGGCAGCACCCTGGCACTGCCATGTGGCACAGTCACACTGCAGATGGAAACCACACCTGCCCACACTCACAGCCCAGGTGGCACAAGTCCAGGGACTTCCAAGGCACCTTTGCAGCCACTGTTTCACAAGCAATCTGACAACCCCAGGAAGAATGTGTGGTCCCCATGAGAATGGATTGTCTAAATTAATACAGCCTTCCTGAGTAACTGTAAGTGAAGGTTGTAGAATTGCCCAGAATTGCACTGCAGTCCCACCAGAAGTCTCCCCCGCTTTTACTCAGACTCCACTCTCCAAAAAACTCTCACACCACGGCTTTGTAAAAGGTCCTTAGCAGTCACTGCCTTAAAAGACAGTTTTTAGACCTGCCTTTACTTTTTCTGCACCGGATCTGGGAGCTTTAGATAAATTTCATGCTGCTCTGATCTGTTTCCTGGGAAACAGAGCTAGAGCAGCAATGAAGGTTACATCCCATACATTTTCTAATATAAATTTCAACATTTCTTTTACTTTCATCAAGAAAAACAGGAAAAAAACACAACCCAAACAACAACAAAGCAACCAACTGATTTCCTCAGAAGATTATTTTAAAACTAAACAAAAAGTAGAGATTGAAAAGATTTAAAGTTCAGGCTTAAAAGCACAAGTTTTATGTTGCAAAGCAAGGCAGGTCACTCTTCAAAAGTCAGGGATGTATTCAAGTCAAGACTATTATAAGACTATAAAAAGCAGATTGTTTCTAATATCTACCACAGCATGTGTAACCAAGGCACTGACAAAATATTTTTTCATTTCAAATGAGAAAGTGTGGAATTTCATTACAACCAGCACACAAGAATTACTGAAGAGGCAGTTTGCCCTTAGCCGCTAGTTGAAAAAGAGAGAGGAAAAGAAAAAAAGATAACAGTGAGGTGCAATGATTAATGAATTTATTTATTTTTAACTAAAAAAAAAATATCTCTTTCAGCAGTTGTCACAGCAGCATTGTTTCCTTTGCACTTGGTATTTCTGGCTTCAGCTGAAAAGAAGATGCTGAAAAAGCATCTTCATTGCTGGCAAGCAGCTAAGCAAACACAAAAGCCATTGAGAGCAGGGGGATCACAGCATCCCGTCAACCTCAGCGTTCACACACTGGCTGTCGTGACACAACTGCACACAGTTATGAAAATCCTCAGCTGAGAATTCCCTGCGCCTAAAAAACATATAGATTTCTATATGGTTTCTTTTTTTTTTTATACATATATGCAGCTCAGAACCCTTCAACCAAGGTGCTTTCAAAAAATTTAAAGACATTCCTTGCATCACACTGTAGGCAATTATCTTGCCAAAAAAAAAAAAAAAATCCCAACACAGATCATTGATTTTAATGCCATTTGTAACTATCTACATTCATCACTTAACTCATGTTGTAAAATACATACCTGCCAAACAGCAAGACTCAACACCACGGTGTGACATTACCATGATCATAATGTTCACATAGATAGTTTGCACATTATGGTTGCCATAGGAACCTCCCAGTTCAGTTTTCTGAGTTCTCAGTTTATAATCTCAAAATAACATTGCACTAAATGTTAAGTATAAAGTACAATGAATGTCAGGAAAGAAAAATATCTGTTTCATTCAGTATCAGTTACTGTCAATTCAGAACTGTTTGTTTAATTTGCATGGTCTCAAGTCATTCAGAGCTTCTATTTTTTCTTTGGGAGTTGTTCCAAATGATTGAGTCTCAACAGTTTCTTATAAATGCAGAAACATGAATTGAAGCTTCACTTTCTGTCACTGAGAGTTCCTCAAAATTTGTTTTCTAACATCCCTAAACCCTATAAATTAATTTTTTTTGATGTTAAATGTTTGACACTAAATACATTGTCCCAGACAGAGACAGATCTAAATCACACTATGTTTTGGTTCATGCAGCACAAAATTTATTGCAGCTGTTTCTGACAAGACATGATGCATTGTGTTGCATCCCTACACCTCACCCCAAGCTATATTTAATCCCACATTTCTGATTTTTTTCTGTGCTTAATAAATCTGTATTTTCCAGGATAAATCTCAATTTCTTTGGTTTTACTTCCTGTGTTGTCCTTTTTCACCTGTTCATCTTTGTTTTATAATTTTCATTCAGACCTTGTCAATATACATCTTCAGATCCTATGAATACTTGATGAATGAAAGCAAGAATGTTATTTCCACCTCCATTTTTCATGGCATACAAGATAAAACCTTTGCTTTCTATGTAGATTCAAAGTATAGATATTTAAATTCCATCTATACTAAGTCATGTCTTTTGAACTGGGTGGGGCACAGGATTATTACATCTCTTTTACATCTCCTGAGATCAACACTTGGACATAGTTCAAGTTACAAGTGAAATGAGTTGGGTGGTCTCAGGAAAATTCATTATAAACAGCATTGCTCATCTGAAAATTGCACCAAACTGTGAACATCTGTTACTCTTCTAAAGAAACAGAATCTGGAGCACATTAATACTGGGCTCAGTGAAACAAAGATTCTTTAATCATGGTAAAAAAGTAGCTCTAACAGAACAGTTTAAATGCATAGCTAAATTATGAAATATGGAAACAAGGTTATTATTATGTATCTAATTACTACCGTCTGCAAAGTTCGTATGGAATTTCTTTTAAAAAATGTGGTTACCTTTTTCTCCAAAAATTCATCAGAGAAGCTCATAACAAAGAAAGATGTAACCATCAGGCCTGCTCTGCTTTGCTTTCTCCCCTTGGTGATACAGCAAATCCCCCAACTTGAGGATTCCCATGAGCAAAAGCTCTTTCACTTTGCACCATTATTCCATCTCCTACAGCTGGGTTTTCCAGGAAGGTTACTTAGAAGCATCATACACTTGAATGAATACTATTTTGCGTTTCTTCCCGACAGAACAACTGAAAACAATAGACCTCAAGGGGGTAGAACATAAGCTGTCATAATTTTCATGCCAGACAACTAGAAGGACTATCCAGGCTTAAGTAACAACATTCAGAGGGCAACTAGTAAGTACTGTTAAGCTGGAGACTTGTGCAAATGAGTGGGAATGATATGGATCACTTCCCAGTAAAGACTGAAAAGTTTGCCTTCCCTTCCCCAGAATCACATGTATACCAGTGGGCAGACTGCAACCTCCGGGGTACACCCACATTCAAAACAGTCAAGTGCCAGGTCACTGATATATTTTTCAGAGGTGCTTTGAACACCTTGCAAACAATCCAACAATGCTGAGCCAACTGGAAGTCAAATACAGTAAACTGGCATACACCCACTGCCAGGACATCCCCTTTCCCACAGGGACAGTAAAGGTGGTGCATTTGCAGCGCAGCACTGGCAGCTTTGTGTATCTCTGTCAGCTTTAACGATGCCTTCCTGTGCTGACCACACCGCTGACTGTGCTGCACTGAGACAGCCTTATTGCTACTGCCAGGACAACCTGTGACAGTAAATTTTAAACTGGTGTAGGTGTACATCTATCAGAGTTCTAGTTGCCACCACGTAAGACATACTTTACTTCTCTAGGATTAGACCTATAACATAACTAACTTAAATGTTCACTTATTTTTTATTATTTTTCTTCCTTGTTATTCCTTAACTAAATGCTCCATCACTCAGGTTTGGAAGTGCCTCAAATGCAGGTTAGTCTATCCAGTTCCAGGGAAGGCCAGAGTTCTGCAATGAGGAAGTTGGCTTTGGACAGAGAAAGGCAAACAATGAACTTACTGACAGCAA